GGCTTCCAACCACCATTGATACCTAAATCAACTAAGGAGTTTACACTACAAAACACCAGGTCGTTTCCATGTTTTAATGGTCCAACGGAAGTCTAGGTTGCAAGGCTTCAGTTTCCGAGATGCTTTTGGGGGCGGATTCTGGAATCACGTGGTTTCTGACCTCTTGCTTGGGTCATTGGAACGTGATCCTTCACTGAAAGCGACAAAGGTCAACCCGTGGTAGTTGCAAGCGGTTCCATGGGTCGCCTGGATGTTTGACACCAAGCGTTGCTTCCAGGACTTGCCAACCACGTGCCTTGCTCGCAGTGACCGGGAAGACACGCTCCGCACAGATCGCAAAGATCTTCGCCGGGACACCGCGGGACCATTTGGGGGATCTGCCGGACCAGGTTCTTGAGGGTTTTGACCCGCCCCAAAAGTGGGCCGATCTTCTGTTGAACCATTGGACCGGCCAATTGGACCTTTCCCCTGACATGGGGAAGATGGTTCAACTGTTGTCCGGGTTCCTGAACAGCAAATCCAAGCTTGGACACGTTTTTGTTGAAGGTGTGTCAGACCTGACAGCCTGGTATTGGGAGTTTTGGGGGGGGTTCGTGAATGTCTGTGTCCAATCTTTGGTGAGAAGGGATTTCATAAAGCAGTCCGTGTTCTTCGGATCAAAAAGCAAAGGGGCCACGCGAACTACCTCCCCACAGTTTACTAGTAGCTTCGTTACTAGTAGGCGATGGCCTCCACCCAGCATAGCGATGGCCTCCAACCTATATAGTACTAGCGTCCTTTGTTTCTCGCCAATCTGCGCCCATCCGGATTTCATCCGCGCGAACAACGCCTCGCGGTGTCCTGCAGGCGCCCTTTGGCCTTGTGCCTCCTACGGCTTCTGGAGACGATGGCCGCGGCGCGGAGGGGGTTTCTGAGCGGGGCAGCTTTGCGGCGGGGTGAAAGACCTGAACTAGGACCCTACAGGAGTACCTATAGGATAGTCGAACGTTCGGGTTCTGACCCACCTCTGCTGGTAGGACCCTGTGGTACATATGGGATGTGCTATAGGCGCTATAGGCTATAGGGCTGTTCAACCTCTTGGTGGTTTTGTTTTTTTGTTCCAACTGGTGATGTGTCTGACTGCCTCTTTGAGGAAGGTAGGTGTGAATGTTGGGAAGTGTTGGGCAGTTCATCCGAGAAACTCAGCAACTTCAGCGTTGTGTTCGGAATACGTTTTTTTGGAAGACCTCCTCAGCGGATTGGTTGGTTCTGAGGCATGTTTTCAGCCCGTGAGCCGGCGTCAAAGGACGCTGAAAGACAATGAAGATCACCGTTTGTCCTCTGGAAATTCCTCTTGGAAGATGGTTGTTCGGGTCAGACCGGGCATTTTTGCAAACTTGAAGTCGGGTCTGTGCAGCACAAATCTTTTTCGGAACCTACTGCCACGCTGTTGGAATTGGCATGTTCCTCTTGAAAGTTCCTCTTAGCGCCAAACACGCCAGGTCACCATGTACGCCAAGGACGGCATGCGAGACATCTTTAGCCGGGCGCCCAAAGCAGTCGCCGGTGGTTTCAAGCTAGTGGGGCACCATCTTTTGAAAGCAAATCAGGGCCAAAGCCAATCAATATCCGAGTCCACCACAAGTCGACGTGACTAGTCTTTGTGATCTGTGAACTTTCTTCCAAGTCGTTTGCTCAAGGTATCTCAAATCCATACCCTGGGAGTCAAAGACTATAAAAAGAATGGTCTTTAGGGGACCTGAAAGGGAACTTCCTTTACTTCAGCCGGTCAAAATATAGTCGAACTGGACTTCTAGGATTGGTTCACTTCCGACATGGATTCCACTTCTTGCTGGCCCACTTTGCTGGCCATCCTTCTTCAGGGTCCATGTGGCTGCATGGAAACGCTGTGGACCACAGGAGTTGCAGAGCTGCTGAGTTGGCCCAGACAGACCGTTTAGCAATTCAGCCAAACCTGGAGAATGCGTCCCTTCGTTGAGGTGCGGAAGTCCCCGTGGCCCAAAGGATTTCACGTGGAGTTCTAATTCTAGGTTTTGCGTATGTAGGGTGGCAAGTTGAACACCGGTCATGGCAGACGTCCTTCGGCACATCGTGGTGCGCACGGCTCAGCCCACAGGCAGCGGCTATGGGCTCATCGGGAAGGTGGTGAAGTTCCTCGAGCCCCGCGGTCCGCGTTTCGCGTGTCGCGTCGAACGCGTCGAGTCGCGACACGGCGGACCGGCTCGGTTCGGGGCGAAGTGAAGGGTGAGTCGGTGTGGGAGCGTCCGCGTCGAAGGTTGGGGAAGGAAGGTGGTCATCCCATCCCAGACACGACTAATGGGAGTGCCATAGGACTGCCGCCCCATTCACCCCTCAAACCACCCCAACTGATCTGCATATATGGCAGTCCCATTAGTCGTGTCTGGGCATGAAAGAACCCGATCAAATTGAGGCTAACAGAGAAATGAGTTTTCTATGCACGAAAGGTAAGACTGCACAACAAAATTCTTCCAGCACCACCCAATGGGTGGTTTATAGACCCCCCTGAAGATGTATGTTCCATCCCAAAACCACCCGAACTGGGTGGTGTTGGTTGAAGCTTCTCCGTGTTGCAGATCTTGGGCGTTCGTGAAAGGTGATGCGACCCAAAGAAGTGTTTCATATGACGAACTGAGTTCGTCTTGCGAGAGCGAGTCGACTCGTGTGATATGAAGAAGGACTTGTTGGTTTCCTCTGCACCCAAAGGTCTTTGGATCGCTTCCAGTCGCATGAAGTTGTGGACGGACACAGGCCAACTGCTGGCGCTAACCGCTACCCAGCATAGCGCGCCAGTGGCGCCATCTTCCAACTGCTGCCCTTTCAGCATCCGTCCAGCTGGAGCGGTGTTCGCTTTCGGCATCGGTCCTGGACGCATGAAGATGCAGGACCGTCCGATGGCAAGTCCGATCATTTCTGGCGATGACTTCCACGGAAAGACCGTACCCTGGGGGTCCAGGACAGTTTCTAAAACCGTCTTTGGCCAGGGAGGGTTATTATCCAAGAAAGACTGACAGAGTATTCAGAGCACCTGTGTTTTGGCCAGGTGCAGCTTGGCTCAACTTAGGGGTCGTGAGGAATTCAGTGGCATACCATATCTTGCAGCACTCTTAACATGTTCCAACCAATTCAATTTGGATATGTGAAACCACACCATGGTTTTCATCGTATGATCCAAGTGTGCTATGTGCGTCTTGGCACACATGGCTGGTGACAGCTGGTGCATCGCTATCCTACATGCACCTGTGCCTTGGGCAGTGTTGGAAGTATGCATGGGCACCACATGCATGGACAATGAATCTGGAAAATTTCTGTGGTGGGTTCTTGGCCATATCAGGTACGCATGATATGAACTATGAAGATCAAACGAGCCCTGCAAAGGAGATGCTGCCTCAGACTTCGAGGTTTTGAGTAATTTAACGCATAGTTTTGCAAAGTCATATGACCATGTCCCCATACCTCAGGACTGATAGATGATGGCAACCTCCTGCAGCCCCGGCCAATCTTTGATGGTGCCACCACCTCTAGCTTCACTGTGTTGATAGCCTGTGCATAAATTTCACAAAGAGCGTCAACTCAGTAGAGTAGACCTTCATTTTACTTTATTTGGGTTCAAGCGATGAAGCCCCTAACTTGGATCATGAAGTTCCCATGCACAGGTTTCTCAAATAGATCACACTTGTTTGTAATTTCTGTTGGGGCTTTTTTGGCAACTCGACCTGTCCCAGCCCTGCTTTTCCACCCGATGCCGGCTGCAATGCCCGCAAGCACCAGCGAAGACCGGATTGCGCTCCTGAAAGCAGCTCGGCTGGCAGCATGGGGATGCTTCGCTGATCTGACTTTTTCTAGGGATATACCAGATACTTTTAGATGTAACCTGAGCATGAGTGACAAGGGATCAGCATTGCTGCCCAGGAGTTCTTCAAGGACATTCTGGAATCTGACGATTTCATTCCATCTAGGCGAAGGCTTTTGAGACGGAGAGCTGGGCTTCGCAATTCAGATACCTCTGTAGCGTGGCCAAAAACAACCAAAAAGTGCATATCGACATGTCACTGCCTATCAAGTCCAGAACAGTGGTGATACATCTCAGGGACCATTCTGATGAAATTGAGGTGCCGCCATTCACCTTTGTCCATCGCTTTGCCAAGGGCGATAAAATCTTTGAGATGGAGGCCCCAGAGTGTTCATAAGATGATGCATGTCTTCCCATCACTGCCCATCCATTTTACTTTTATTCCTTAACCAGGTTGAACAAGAAGAGAATCTGGCATTTCTGCTAGAATATTTGGCGCAGTTCTGCGAGCGTTTGCCAACAGACATTGAGTGTGAGGACTGCCTTGATTTACCTAATTTAAGAGTTGCAGTCGGGGGTGTTGTTCTGAGTCTCTTGTCCATCCTGCCCTGTCAATTCATTCAGCCAGCTTCCTAGGAGGCATTGCTATGGGCAAGCCAAACTTATGGCCTAAACCCTCAGTTTGGTACTGAAGCGGAGCACCGTGCTACTCAATTTAATTGGATGTTTGTCATGCAGTTGACACAGACTTCGCATTGTGAATCACAGTCCTGTTGTGAAAACATGGGCAAACAACTCTCCCTCCACCCCACTTTGAGTGGCTTTCAGGCCTGGGCTGGTATTGAAAGTGGAGTTCAAAGAGCGATGGCCAGCTACTGCATGACCCGGTTTCAAAAGACTTCGAATGCCCGGTACTTTCCTTAGCATGTGAATTGTGAACCAAGTTCTTTCATCAACGTCAACAACTAAAAGAATAATGGGTTGGTGGGCACTATTTAGGCTACGTGTGAAACAACCTGACCAATTTTCAGTGTGATTACTGTGTATACCGATCAAGTTCCCCATCTAAAGTCCAGCGACGGCCCAGGGGAGGACATGAAGGGATGATGAAGATCAAAAATGTGATCCACGCCAAGTTGAAGGCAGTAGCTTGGGGCACCAAGATTGGAACTATTGATTGATGTCAGGGATGCCCACAGAAATGCAATCGGGCTTGGAATACTACCAGCTGTTTATGTGGTTCCTTGACTTTGTTTCCTCTGGTTGGTTGTTCCTTGTGTCCGGCCAGTCCCTCGACCTCCTGACAGCCGATGGAAAGAAGAAAGGTACCAGAGGTCCAAAAGGTTCGAAGGAGGACCACCATGCACACCCTTTATTGCATGGAGCATGGGTTCAGTTGATGTCTATTTGTCTTTTTAGCAAAGGACCAATGCACAATCTACAAACAATTAGCGCGTATCCATTTGCAAAACCTACCTGTCCACTTCAGGACTTGACTGAAAGCTGCAAAGAAAAGAAAGGAAAGGAGAAGGAAGACAAAGATCCAGAAGAAGACACAGCAGAAGACGATGAAGAGGAAGATCAGGGGCAAAGTGAGGCTGAAGAAATCGAACATGAGGAAGAGGATGAGGAAGAGGACCCGGATGAGGCTGAAGGTGAGGAGGAAGAAGAGGCAGCACAGGCGTATGCCCAAATGCGGGGCCACCCAGATGAAGCAGAGACACTTGAGATGCATGATCCGTTCTTTTGGAACGACAGTCAATGGCAAGAAGACCAGGATGTAATGATTGAGGCAACTCAGCACTATGAGCCTGAACAAGGGGGAGACAACGACGATGAAGGGAATGAAGTGGAGAGACATGCTGGGGACAAGCAAAAGGAACTTCCTCAGAATGCCAAAGAAGATCCAAAGAACAAGGTGAAGATGGAGACAAAAGAAGAAGAGGTGGAGGAGAAGAAAGAAGACAGTGAAGAGATGAAGCCAAAGCAGAAACACACACCACCGCAGGAACCTGAAGAGAAGAATGGAGAAGATCCTCCG